ATATATATATATATATATAATTTAACAATATATATTATATATGTGATTTCACTAATTGAAACTAGAATGATTGATTAGACGTATGTAAAATTAAAAACCTATGTATGCAGTACAATTATAGATCTCGTTTCGCCTCGTGAACAGGCGTAGAGGGGGTTGGACCTGGCAATCAGTGAAAAGTTGAAAACCCATGTGAAATAGTACTATTATAGATTTTATCTATAATATAAATCTAATTTAATCTAACTAGTGAAATTGAGTTTTAAAGGATTATGAGTTTTGATGTTAACATATATGTATATAAAATTCAGGACTGTTTTTGCAAGATAATATGCGTAATACAGATAATATGTACGTGTATATATATTATAAATAATATATAATAGTACTTTTACTTACATTCTGTGTACATAGGATTGTACGGTGCAACTATAGCACCGATATAATAACTGGCGTAAACTGGTATTAACCAATTCAATCGATTTTCAGTTGCAATACCAATTCTATCCCCCATTTTTATTCCGTACTTTTGTAAAAACTTCGTGAACTTCACGCTTTTCTGGAGGAGATCTCTATATGTCATCCGATTGCCGGTTGGTCCATCTATCTACAAAAAAATTATACCTTTTTACAATTGTATAGAGTCAATATAATCATGAAATATTCTAGAGAGAGTATAAAAAATAATCCTTTTAATTCATCTTTACATGTTACATGATGATTACTCAATTGCAATGTGTTTATAATATAACTACAAAACTTGTATTTTTTATGACTGTAAAATATAAAATTAATTATATATTGCCTTTCTTAATGTTTTATCTTGTTAGACAATATTTTAAAAATGTTTAGTACTTTGAATTTAAAAGAAAATGAACATAAAAATGAATAGGCTGGGAACTAAGCGTTATAAGCGATGCATAATATGGCAGGAAAAGGTCAAACAGAAAATTCGTGAATTTCGCCTCCGATAATTATAACGCCGATGGAATTATAAAAAAATTTTGTTTTGGCGTGTTCTGTTATCTGGCGCAGACAATCTACTTATAATTGCCTATCGCTACCATTTCGTAATTATGACACTTACTGCATAGACACGATCGCCGTTCTCGCGCAATTTGTTTAGTATGACTTCTGCCATAGATACATTTGGCGTTGGTTCTTCCAGACGACGCTCATATATCTTTCCCATCTTTGCAAATGGAGTGGTATTTATCTGACAAGCAGCGATGTTTCTACCTAAAAAATAATTTAATTCTTAAATTAACCCTAGATCACCACATGGATAATTTTTAGTTACTTTCCCCATCACTGCAAGGTCTATGAAACTCTTTAACTTTAACACGTTATATCTCTGAACTAAAAGCATATTTTTTAACTCAACGCGTGTGAAATTGATATGCCAGATTAAGAAAAAGACAGACAAATAAAAGTCAAATAAAAAATATTTTATCTTCAAATAATTATAATTGTTTAAAGAAATTGTGTTTTAAAAATTTACAAAAAATGCTATTTTGAATAAAAAATTCTCAAATTTTTAAATTTCAACTTAAAGCAAAAGAACCGTATACACATCACTACACTTACTGCATCAATATCGCACGTATACATACTCACAAATCGTCAATAAAACAGTGAATTTTTGGAGTTTGATCTCGAGTTTAGGATCCCCTTAAAGTGATATACTTTTCAACTGACGTATCAAGAGACTGTAATAGACTTGTAACGCCATATTTAGTTACGAATCAGGCACATTGAAAACGAGTGTCGCGCATTATGAAATTATCTCATACTATTTATCAGGGTCAGTTGTATTTTACATCGTATCCGATCGTACTAGTAGAAGAGACTACTTCCACTCGAATCAGAAATTATCGTGTTGAACTCTTTGATTATATAAACATGGACTGCTGGTCCCCCCACTTTTATTATGTAAAATACATATGCCCGGTGTTGCCGAGCTGAAGTTGGTTGAGGTATCGAACTACGATTTTTAGGGTCCACCCCAGAGCTGCGTTCCAAAATTTACTCGGGTAATCAAAACTTTATAGTTAACGTTACGTAAATTATAGAGTTTTAATTACCCAAATATGTTTTGGAACGTAGCCCATTCAGTAAAAAAATGTCAAATATGCCAAAATGTATTAAATGTTATGTTGAAAATTGATAAGGAGCCGGAAAAAATCGCAAATCAACGAAAAGAAATTAAAAATAGACTCAGCACCTTTCCTTTACACGTCGTAAACACGCTGATTTTACAGGAGCTTTCCTCCTCCCCGCAGAAAATTACTGACTAGGGTGGAGTCTACATCTTCCAGCTTGGCGACACGTACGAAGTTTACTATCAGTCCATACATATATAGTCAAAAGTCGAACTCTGAAATAATATAAATATAAACATAGATATTTTCTCTTTATGCAAGCAATTTATTTACATTCGCAGGCAAAGATAATGCGTATACTTATCTATGCATTTCCTTTGATTACATAAGTTTGGAAAATTTATAATAACCTTTAACACAAATCCAATTTAATACTGGAAATAATTTACTTTGAGTATTAAGTGCGCTGAATGGCAGTATATTTAATACTCAGAATAAGTAATTGAACAATATTTTCCAGTATTAAATTTTTGTAAGAGTATTGATTAGCATGTTTCTGTTTAGAAAATAATAATAAAATGCAAGCATTTTGTTCTTCTTAAACGATACATTTTTATAGAAATAATATATGTAAATTATATTATAATAATTGTTATCAACTATCACTATATAATACGAATACATTGGCGATAATGCGTGTAATCAGCTGCATTTTAATAAGGTGTCATATTCAACATCGAACTTTATGCAAATATACATGTCTAACGACTTATAAATAATATCATCATAAATGCCTAATTACCTAATGTTATTTTCAATCCTGAGATGTTGAATTGACCAGTTAAATCCTATTGTTGCAGCTATGCCAAAGATTATATACTGTAGTAGAGAAATAGAAGTATCACACGGTGTGACTTTCCATGGATAATGTATGCATGTACGAATGTATGTAATGTATGATTGAGATTGAATGATAAACAACTCTTATTATAGTCATTATGAATGCCATGGTATGAATAAATGAAGGAATGAATCTTGAATAAACAAGATAAACACCAACCGAAATATCTTTACAAGAGAATTTTTTTTACTGTTATTGCCGTAACTGTCTCCTATAAGCACCATTCAACTCTCATTTCTGGTAAGATACTGTGAATAAAATAGTATATACAAATGATTTTAAAAAATGGAAAGATATTCAAAAACATAGACGGAAAAATGCACATTGTTATATATTAATCGTAAAATTGAAACAGTTTTACTTGTTAATACCTTGTTTCGTACATAACGTACGTTTCGTTACAGATTATCAAATATCTTTGTTATACTCTGGCTATATATATTGAATGTCGCATACTAAAATTTTGAGAGATAAGTTAAAATACATATTTCAATAAATAATTTGCCTAATTTGCATCAGAGCATTTTGTAAATGTATTATTTGTAGAAAATTTTGTTGATTATAAAAACGTTTAGACGTGGAATTATAATAGATCACAAGATAGCATATTTAAAAATTTTAAAATTCTAGTAATCAATAAATTACTTTTGATACCTCGTATGATACGGTAGATTTGTTTCGAAAAAGAAGAATGATGGAGATAAAGGACTTTCCACTTTGCGGGATTCGTCGGACTTTGAAGTGACGAGCAACAACGTTCTGTTTACTGGAATGATAAGTGTTCTAAAAGCATTCGTCACACATAATTATAATGTTATCTTAAGTTAATTTACATTTTAAATGCGTGTTAAAAAGGTAAATTTTAGGCTTAAATGAAATAAACCAATAACTGTAAATGAAACCATACAACAATAAAAAAGTAATCTTGTAATTATAGCGAGAATAATTTAGGTACGAAAAATGAGATAAAACGGATAAGTGATTAGTAAGCACTGCGATACCACATATGTTTTGTATTTATAATCAATATGTTTTGTATTTAATCAATATAGATAATATAAAGATAGAAATTATATCTGAACTATTCGTCAAATTTAGCAAGAAGTTTCTCTATGACGTACTTTAATCAGTCCAGATTCGACTCCAATCCAGACTCCAATCATATTTGGTTATCAGACCTATATTTTCTTGTATATATTCTTAGAATATTGCTGCTATAAATTTTATACATGACAGGCAATTTTTTAGCAGATGCAAAAACCAGCGATGTAATTTAAGTGTAATATTTAGAATATTAGCTGTGTGCGAAATAGGCGCATTAGTAAGTACGCGATATTTGCGCGCTAATTGACGGGCATATCTTGGTCTCTTGCGTTAGGGTGCGTTCCCACTGAGCGCGTCACGCGTCGCGTCGTCTGTCGCGTCACGATTAATCGACCAAAATATCCCATTTTATTGCATTATATTTGCCGTGCGACTCCTTGTGCGACGCATCAATTAGGTTACTCGACATTCTAGAGATAAAATAATCTTTTTTTGTATGAAATCCAGGATCACGCGGCAAATTACGCAATAAAATGGGGTGTTTTGATTGGTCAATTTGGATAACGCGACGCGTGATGCGTTCAGTGGGAACGCACCCTTAGCGCCGGGCGACGAATGACTCGAGCGCCCGCGGGCCAATAAGATTAGACTATCGGCGATTGCGCTCCAGCTTGAAAAGGCTCGGCTATCGAAGCACTCTCGAGGGTAATGCGATTGTTGTTAACTACAATGAGACGGCAAACTTCGATCGCTAAAACTTTCCAGAATTATTGACGAGCCAAGCATAAAATCGACTTTCCGGCTCCGCGCCGGTCAGATCCTATCGATACGCCGAACGTATCTCCGCGCCTCTTGAATCGTGTAACGGGATTGCAATAATTTCGACGACATTAAATCAACCTGTTAAAATACGTTTATTGGTGTACGGTTATTTTCGATACTTTCTTCTTTCGCTAGCTCACAGTATTCGGAGCATTAATCGCGGCACAAGCTGGAACAGCGAAACATTTCCCTGAGTGAATGAAGTGAAGACACAGGTTGAAAGTGTGTTTAAAAAATAAATATAATTAAAAATGTAAACGTTTTGACTCTTGTTTGAGTTATCTTCAGTACAATGATAAAAACGGAATAACCAGTAAAAAATCTCTAATGCGTTGTGAAGGTCAATCGTAAAACGGAACATAGTCGAATCGTTATCTTGTCCCAGATTACAAAATTATAATCGCATTTAAGTGTTTGAAAAAACACTTAATCAGGATTGGGTAAGTTAATATATATTTTTTTAACTAAGTTAAGTTAAAGTTAACAGTCTAAAAATTTAATTTAGTTAAGATACAAGTTAATCCATAATAAAATTAATTGAGTTAAAAGTTAAATTAATAAAAAAAGTAATTGAAAAGTTAGTTAAATTTTTTCATTTTTAGGGTTTCTAAATAAAGCTTCTAAATAAAGTATATATTTGTTATTATGTTTGGGAATCGCCTTTGAGCGGCGAGGAATTAATCCGTATCGCTCTCCGAAAATCGAGGAACGCACCGTGGCTGGATGAAGGATCAGTAGAAATTTAACGAGAAACAGAGAAACTTATAGAATTTAAACCAAGAAATGTGCTTTATTCCACGAAACGTGATACCGAGAACGCACGTCTAGTCGCGACGGAGACAGCCGGACAAGTCCCGACTTCTCGTTATCCACACTCGCTCAACCTATCGCTTCTGTCCTTCCTTTGTCATCGTGTTTATTAGTCATCGTGTTTATTAGTCATCGTGTTTATTAGTCATCGTGTTTGATAGGCCCGCCGGTTTTTGTACTGTTTACAACTTATGCCTTTACATAACGACTGGCCGTGAAATTTGCTTTTCCGTTTGCTTGCTTTTTTATCTTTGCGCAGGTTAATAATTCGGGGTAGTGGCGATGCAATCGCTACATACTTAATTCTGTCTAACCGCGGAAAGAGGACTTCGAAGGACTTCTAACGTGATTTAATGCACAGAAGGTTCGCGAACAGTGATTCCTTCCCGCAGCCAGACTATATTTGTTATATTATTACAATTGCCTTGATGTGTATTCTCAAATTTGAGTTTGAAGACACTAACTTAGACATGTATTTTATTTTGGGTTTATAAGAAGCACTAAAAATGTAACTTCAAGAAAGTTAGATCAAAAGTTAATAGTTACCGATAAAATGTAGCTAAATTAAGTTAAAAGTTAAGAGTAATGCAACTAAGTTAAATGTAACTAAGTTACTTAAATGTAACTAAGTTAAGTTAAAATTATTTAACTTTTTAACTTTTTAACTTAACTTTTATTTTTTTAACTAGGCATAACCCTGCACTTAATCAGTAAAGTTAAATATAAAATGAAATTACGACTACTTGACAAAATGATAAACATGTATACAGAACTGTGTAAACAAGTTCATCATATCTTGTTCTGTATGTATACATATCTTGTACACATATCTGTCATTTTGTCAAGTCGTTGTAATTCTATTAATAAAACTTATTATCGTTTCTAAGTGTTTGGATTTGAACTTTGAAAAAATACGTAAGCAATGAATTCAATTTATTTTGTTAATATCACTTCACTGCCTAAGTATTTTTCCAAACTCTACTTAACTTTTAAACCATCACGCCCCAAAAAATCACACTAATCATATGACAGACCGCTATTAAGTTCTTGTTAATTTTATAAGTTAATTATAATAAAAATGTATGTTTTCTGAATACTTGTTGATAGAGAAAAGAAAAACTATGTTTTAATAAAAAAATCTTATATGCAATAGAAAATATATTTAAATGATGACAAATAAGAAAATTGTTGACAAGTAACATTTTAATAGTGGTCTGTAATATAGTGAATCTTTTTAAAGGTTAAAAACAATAATAATATTTAATCTTAGACAAGATGACGATTTGACCATGCTTCATTTTGTGATTGACTCTCGCAACGCATTGGATGTTTGACGTTATATTCCGTTTTTAGCATTGTACCGTAGATAACTTAAACATGAGTAGAAACGTTTAAGTTTTAAATGGTATTTTTTATTAATATATTTATTTTTTAAACATTTTCAACTTGTGTCGACTTATATTGGTTTGATTTATATAGTTATAGATTTTTCAATTTTATATTCGTTATGGTTATTAACAAGATGTGTGCAATGAAATACTTATACACTCGATCTGGTATATCAGCAGCCTCACTCTGTAAACCTCGGCAACGTAAGTACTATCACAATTCCTTCGAAATTTAAAGTTTCCTATAACAATAAAACTTTTTTAAATTTATGCCTGTCAAACACGTGAAAAGTTTAATTATTCAGCAAAAAAACACGTAATTTTAAAATTTATAGGATACTTTTTGTTGAAAAAGTATACACTACTAACTTAATTTTTTTGTTATTTAATGTTCTCTAATTTGGCAACTTTCCTAGAAAATACAATACGATTGCCCAATGCATTGCATGTTAAATGTAATATATTTGTATATTTAATGACTTCTGGCAAATTCCAATTGATCGAAAAGTCCGTAGTGTTGCCATCGACTTTTGTTGTTTTCACGAGGTTCTTCTGACAATATTATTATTAGTAACATATAAATAATATAAATATACGAATTATTATTATATTCAACACTGATCTGATCACTTTCAAGTGTGCGATGTATTTCTGTTTATTTTCATCAAACGTGCGATGTACTTTTGTTGATATATCTGTATTTTGTGCTCTGGTTAGATAAATTTAATAAATAAATTAAATCATTTATTAATAATTGCCAATAATTATTGAATAAATTATGATATCTTCACATATGTCAAAACAACTTATCACTGGATTTTTGTTAAAATACATATGTAAAAAATATAAATAGTGACATGTGTATGTTTATAAATATAAATGTAACCACTCAAATAATTTTACAAATTGTTATAATAATACTACATAATAAATCTCAACAAAAAAAGCAGAAATCATACATAACAATGGATTCTAGAGACATAAATTTATATTAATATTACTTTATAAAAGATTCAATGATGAGAAGTTTTAAAATATGATTGGATAGCGTTCCATGACGTTTTAAATTCCGATTGGACGATTTACTATCAATATCTTCAATTTATCAATGCCATGTGTTTCCTAATGTAAATCATGCTCTCTCAAAGAGAATTAAACAACAAAGAATTTTAAAATATTTATAGATCAAAGTTTCAGATAGTGAATAAGCACGGCATCATTAACCAATTACCGAAAAATATATTTCTGTCAACAATACTATATATGTTCTTTAACACTATAGGCATGCTTTCTTGAAGAGAATTAAATGATAAAAAATTTTAGAATATTGTTGCATAACGGTCCAGTCGACATAGTAACATCATTAATATATGACATATATTTATGTACTTCAAAATCACACTTTATATAATGTGCAAGATTCTTTTATGTTGCAATTAAAATTTTGCCCTTCTTTGAAAATATTGGTGATATTATATCTACAAAAAACATTACTTCATTTTTTTATAAATCTTATATACGTATTTGTTATATGTATTATGTATTATGTTATCATGTATAATGCAATAACTATAAAAATATGACATTAATATTAATTAATGATATTGATTTTATATTATAAAATTTAATAATGCCAATAATAGCCGACACTGGATGTACGTGTGTATAAAAATTATAATATTGATGAATAGATATGAAATTACAGTAACGAGAGAGAGAAAAAAACCGCAAACTTTTCGATCTTACAATCAGTTTTAGATCATCTTCAGTACAAATATTTAAAAAAGTATATATAAAGTTTAAAATAAAAAAATCTGTATAACAATTGTCTTGAAATTTTGAAGTTAAACCGTGAAATGCAGTCAAGATATAAAAAGCCATCGTAGTAAATAAGTCCAAGAAGTAAAGAAGTCAATCGCTTAATCAGCATTTGGTAAAATACTGGGGCAGTGAAGTCGAGTTAAAAATATTAAATTAAACTAAAAAGATATTTAAGATATAAAATATACAATAAATTGCAATAAAAATGGAACTTACATTAATTAAAAAAATTATAAACTAAACTCGAAACTAACTCCTGTTGCTTACATCTCTTTAACATTGATTTTAAATCTGTAATTATTTTGTTGACAGGATTTTATTTTAACATTGTGTAGGTGTCGGAGCCAGACAAAATTAATTCAATACTTTTTACATAGTCGAATTTTTTTTGGTGTTTTCATGGGGTCCCCTATGTCTTCTGTTGTGGCTGATATTGTTATGCACGACCCCGAAACATCCAGTTAAATAATCTAAATTTTACTCCTATCCTTTATTATAGATACGTAGACGATGTCCTATACTCGTTACTAAAAAAACATACATTGATACACTTCATGATTCCTTTAATTCATATCTAATCATTCGAAACTGAAATTTACGATCGAACGAGGCAACAAGTTGAATTTTCTTTCCTTAATGTCACGTTGCTTAATGAAAATAATTGTCATATACATAATTATTATATCAAAATTCTACTTTTTTTTTCGTCGCACTATCTACACTTTTTTTCATGTCATCCGATTTGTCAAAAATTATAGGTAATATTTTCAGTCAAATCGACGGAATTCTTGTTCTATCGCACTCTATGTTCCACCAGGAGAACTTTGAATACATCATTAATATTTCGCTTAATAATAACGGCCATCATTTTGATCTAATTTTTACCAGTAATAGAAAGAGATTATTTGCTAAATTTATGCAACTTAATTATAATAATTGTAACTCCAGTGAGATTAATTTCATTACCGATAAAAAGGCCAAGGAAAAAATTCTACTTTTCTAACAATTCCGTATATTCGCTCAATTTCGGATAGATTTAAAACATTTTTTAAAAACAATCCGGCAATAAGTATTACGTACACAGGTTTGAATAAACTAAGTAATTTTATTAGGGTCTAAAAAAATTAATTATTTACGCTATCATATTATACAAATGTTGTCCATAGAATAAATTGCAAACTGTGATGCGTCATACATGGATCAAATTGGTAGAGTGTTACAAACTAAAATTAAAGAACATAAAAATCACATTAAAAGAAATATTTCCCAAAACTCTGTAATTACTGAACATAGAATTAATACCACACATGATTTTGACTAAAGCAATGTATTAATATTACATAAAAAAAAGAATTTAAACAAAAGTCTCCAAAATGATTCATATCAATAAACAAAAA